CCCCCCCCCCCCCCAACATCTGGCTGGGTGGGGTGCGGTGGCTGCATGCAGCGCAGCAGCAATGCAGGGTGGTGTGTGGCAGCAGCAGCTACCATGTGCGAGCTTTCCTCCACCCCTTCTCTGTATCTAGCCGACAATTCAAGTTAGTAAAGTATTCCGGTTATTTAAATGCTGGATAACAGATTTTACTGTATGCTGAGACTGCTGTTCCTTTATACATGCACTAGTAAGCACTCTGATTACCAGCTCTTTACAGATGGTGTGTAGTGCAAGTCTTGGCCTCCAATTCTGAGGTGATATGAATGCAAAATTGGGGGTTGAAGCTTTTAATATCTGAGTAATCCATATTCCTTGTTGTTTTAAGGAGGTGACATGTCAAAGAATGTAAATCAGTCTCAGCTGGCCAAATTGAACCAGCAAATGGCAAAGATGATGGATCCAAGAGTTCTTCACCACATGGGTAAGTGTTGTAACTTTTTTTTTGTTTTGTTAGCCTAACCTAGGGGCCTTTCAGAGAACTGTAGTGGTACATTTGTCAATATGTGGGGGGTGTCATCTTGTTTTTGTTTAGACTTTTAACATTCTTTCCCTTTTAAAACTGGAAAGCAGCCTGAGCACTTGGAAATTCATAGTTGCAAAGTATTCTATTTCAGCTGCTTGCCTTTTTGTGGTGATTTTGTAATTGCTCTTCCTGACGTGTATTTTTGAAGGCAGTATGATGTGCTTGGCTCGAGATGTGTCCAGTAAAAGAAGGCCGTATAGGAGCTTCTGTCACCATCTAAAATTTCAACCAGGATTGTGGAATTGACAGTAGTGGCCCTGTGTATTGTATAGCAGATGATTAGAGGATGCTCTGTCAAGTCTTGGCTTCACCTCTCTTGTTATCCCCCTATATGGCCTGCTTGTACAGAAACTAATCTCTGCTTTCTCCCCGCAAATTTTCTACAACATTAGAACATTGAGCCTTCTGACAGTGGAGTGTGGGGTCTTGATCCTACAGCTAGGGGACTGTTCTGCTGGAGCAGTGTGAAAAGGGGCAGGTAAATGGGAAAGATCTTGAAAACTGTTCTCTTCTTGCCCTGTTACTAGGCTGAGCCATGGTAGACAGCAGTTCCAGCCTTGCGTAACTTCTGACAGATTCAAAAAGCATTTCCTGACTGCTAATCATTTGTCCGTGCTTTGTCAGTGATTAAGATGGATTAGCACCAGTTTCCATACTCACAACTGCTTACTTCTGTGTCCTTACAACCTACTTTACATTTAGTCTTCAGTTGTAGATTTTGTATGACCAGCTATTTTTAGTCTGAAGAGTCTTCAGAAGTAGGGAGCTGAATTTCAAAGAGTTGTTCTGTTACTTAACTGATATCCATTCTCACTGATTTCTCTAGGTGGCATGGCAGGATTGCAGTCAATGATGAGGCAATTTCAACAAGGTGCTGCTGGAAACATGAAAGGCATGATGGGATTCAATAACATGTAAAGAAGCCTTAATAAAAATAGACTTGGTTGACCATTTTGGTGAGACTTCAGGAAAAGGATTTGATTTCTTTTTTTATAATAATGGGGGAATATCTTTTTGAAACTCCTATTCAGGCTTCTCAAGTAGTGTGTAAATTTTATTTCTGGAAAACGGTTATTTTTGCTTTAGCTGGCTCCTCCCCATTTAATATTTGATGTTGAAAGAACAATTCAGGTTAAACAAAACTCGCAATGTAAAATTTTTAATATTTGGAGAGACTTTTTGTTTGCATCAAATGGCAGCCATTATATTTGTAAGCAAACCAAATCTTTGGTTAATAGTAATAAAAACATCGTAAAAATATACTGTAAAATAAACTTAAGTGGTTGTAAATGAAGGATTTGCTTATTTCTTTGGTTTTTTTAACTATCCTTTATTGTACCTGACTTCATAGTAACATAGTGAGGATGGCTATTGTTTGCTTAAAACAGCATATAAGTAATTGTTACTCAGCAAATGCTTAAAGGACCAACACCTTTGATACATGGGTCATAAAGTATGGACCTGCTTCAAACCAAAATGGAAACAGGCACGGTGGGGTAGAGGGTTTCTTCCTTTACGTATGCTCAGAGAAGGGTGGTGAATAACTGCTGCTGCTTGCCATGGGGAATTTTTGTAAGGATACACAATTCTCTAGATTATTACAAAATTATGAGAGACATTTTAGGTTTATTAAGAGGGCACATCTTCAGTATAACCATGGTATCCACTTTTACTTTCATTTTTGCCAGGCTGCAAGTGATTTTGCTGCGAGTGTGTGGCTGTATGTGATTGGAAACTTAATGCTGGTTTTGAACTTAACAACCTGGTCACAATATACCTAGAAGACTGTTGATTCTTTCCTTATACTGACATGGCTGCAGTTAAAGATTCTTGAGCTGGCATTCATGATATGAGGTGTCAGTTTTTACAGTTCTTAAAGTTACCCAATTTGTGTTGGAACTGTCATCAGCCTTGGTATGAAATGAGCAGAATGTTCTGACTTTTAAGGTAACTTGAAAGGTCATCATTTGGATGCTCGAGTTTTGGAAGAGTACATTGTGGACTGTGGATGACTCTCTCTTCTTCCCCCCACCTTCTCTTTCAGTATTAGTTTACCAGTTCTTTGGGATGAGTAATGTTGCATTCTGAATGCTGATTAAATGTTCTGAAGTCCCCAAGAGCCATGAATAGGCACCTATTTGCATAATCTCATAATCTAAATGTTCCTTGCTGTAAAAATCACATGTGAACCATATAACAGGCCATAGGAAGATCTTACAGTATTAGGAATGGATAGGAATTCAGCATAAACCTCATGTTTCCTTAGACATCCTGCTTTTTGTCACCCAAGTACAAAATATTTTAGCAATGGATCTCAATATACACAGTCTGTGGGGGGGGGGGGGAAAAAAAAAATGCA